TCTGGTTGTCAGTAGAGATCTGATTGTGGGACAGCAGGGAGGTTGCTGTGCGCAGGGCTCTCACCGGTGTTCAGCCTGCTCTCCCCCCCTCTCAGGGCGGTGTACCGGTGCAGGGTGTCCGCCAGCACAGCCGAGTACACATGTCCCAGGTGCGGGGCGGCGTTGACATAGAAGATCGGGGTGGTGAACAGCTGCGGGCGACCCTGTGCCGGCCCTCCATAGCTGATCTTCCTGCTGAAGCACAACGAGCACCACCGACCGACCCGACGTCCATACAACCAGCGCATGTCACCGACAAGAAAAACCTCTCTTCCAGCTGACCCCGCCGAGTGACCCGCATGCATTAATAGAAACAGCACACCGACAAACGCAGCTCAAAACAGGTTTTAATATGTGCTGTTATCTCCGCATTCCTGATGATGTAATCAGAAATGCGGAGATTGTAGTACCACCAGGGATTTGGGCGTAAATAAAGAGTGAGGAACTCCGGGCATTTGCCCTCAGTAAAAATGGCGGCTGACGTTTCTCTACATACATCAATATGAACAGTCCACCGATAGACAAAACTCAAAATACATTTTAGCATCTCCAACAATCTCCGCATTCATGACCGCATTGTATTGCCGGGACCGGTTCGGGTGTGAACTTTGAGTAAGCACCTCCGGGCAGTTGCCCTCAGTAAAGATGGCGGCCGCCATGCCTCCCGCAGGAAGGGGTATAGAGGAAGGACACCGGTGTGCTGGCTGCGTGTGTCGGGGAGATGGCGCTCTGCAGAGTGGTACTGGGTGTGCGGACGGCCCGTGGAGGGTTACAGAGCCAGCGCAGGCTGCGGGCCCCCAGCAGTGAGTGTCCTGCCTGACGTTGTCCTTGTATTGAGTACTCATAGCTTCATTCCTATTGGCTGGGCTGCTGTGCCCGGGGTTTACCCTTCAGGTGTTCTCATGTAGTCAGGGAGGTCATGTGACCAGTCATGAATCTCCCCCACATTGTAATGGAGAAATTAAAGGGGGTGCAAAGGCAAACCTCTCTAGACCAGGGGAGACCTCAGAGTCCTGCTAAGGGCTGTTTTTGTTATATACTTCTGTGCCCCCCCCCCGGGAGATTTTCCCTCACTTCCTGTCCAGTCGACACAACAGGAAGTGAGAGGAAATCTCCCCAAGTGAATCAGATTCCCCTGTTATTGTCACCAAAACAAATGCCACCCTCAAAGATTCCCTCTCTTTTGGTGACCACTCAGTATTTCGGCGGCATTTACAGTTGGTGTAAATCCTTACTGATTGACGTGTATCGTGAAGCACTGTGTATCATGGACCATTGCCATTTAATGTCTGTGTAATGTATGTTGTAACAGCCACTTGTGGTCTCAATGTGACAGGGTGACAACGCAAGAGCACAATTGGGAGGTGGAGACAGAAAGTTGTCACCCTATAACAGGAAGTGACCTCCATGGCAGGATTACCGGGGGTTATTTTAGTGAAAGGTGCAGATTTTGGTGCCGCATTTTTTTGGTATATGGGGCACTCCAGCCATGTCACCCCCAAAGACGTCACAGAAGCTGCTGCTTTTTCTGGAGGGCAGGCTGTCTTCCAGGACTGAGATATGCATGATGAGGTGTCCCCTAGTGGGGGGGAATGTGAATGATAGGCTGGGCTCACAGGGGGCAGGACAACTCTGGACTGAGGAGGATGTTGGGGAAAATACTGGACTGAGGAGGAAGTTGGGGGCAATGCACAACCAAAAAGGAGGTTGAAGAATGCGCTGGACCAGGAAGGAATTTGGGGACAGTGCAGCACTGAAGTAGAATTTGGGGAGCGCGCCGGGCCGAGGAGGAAGTTGGGGAGAGCGCCGGACCCGGGAGGAAGTTGGGGAGAGCGCCGGACCCGGGAGGAAGTTGGGGAGAGCGCCGGGCCGAGGAGGAAGTTGGGGAGAGCGCCGGACCCGGGAGGAAGTTGGGGACAGCGTCGGACCCGGGAGGAAGTGGGGGACAAGGTTGGGGCGTGAAGAGGGTCAGTAAAGTTCGGCACGATGCCCTTTTTCTCTAATCGGGAGGAGACTAATAGAAAACAAAGACGTGACTCCGGCTCTTCTCTCTGATTTCAGGCTCGTTGCTCCGGAGCCCGTCCTCGCCGTACAACCAGCTGCTGAGATATTCCGGAAATGCCGCAAATTCCCCACAGCAAGGAAATCTTCTGTACGTGCTCATTGTGGGAGGAGCCACAGTGGCCGGAGGAGCCTATGTGAGTACTTGTTTGGGGGGGGGGGGGGGGGGGGTGGGAGTGTGTTTGTT